CGTGGCCTCGGTCGTTGCTCACCTATGGTGTGGCCCGGTGTGGAGAGCGGCGTGACAGATCCATCAGGTGACGGGTGAAACTGCTGCTGGACTTTGGTGCGGATAATCCTGGTGAAGTGAACAACAGACACGGATCAATCAGTTCAGCTTCCTGTCTGGAGCGCGGAGATTTCACACAGCCCGCCCCCCCGGCCCGCCTGTGGGATTCTTAAACGCAGCCCATCATGTCCACTTATGCCTGTGCATGTACAAGTGCTCCGTCGTTCGGGGCACTCGTACCCTCACAGTCTGGCTCCCGTCACGACCAGCCAATCTCGGGGCCTTAGGGCCAATCTCTCAACTCCTGTGTGAGGCTGAATGGGGTCGGCCTCCTGAGACCGCTGGATTCAATCTAGCTGGATTCTCAGGTTAGAAATATGATAAAGTCCCTGTACCAGTAAGATGTGATGTGGCGGGAAAGTCTTCATTGCACTTTGGTCTGAATGATCTTGCAAACAAAGCATGAAATCACATCAATTCACCTCAATGATCAGCTTGACTGGCTCTACCTGGCCAAGTCTAATAATCTCCCCCTCCTGCTCCCCTCTCTCTCTATCTCTCTCCCTCTCCCTCTCCCCCTTCATACCTCACACCTGATCTTTTACTTTACGCTCACTCCCATCCCCACGCTCTCCTCCTTTCATTTGGTCTCTGGTGTCCAGTATGTTTTTGGGCTTTAATGTTCTTTCACAATGTCTTTCTTTCTCACTCTTTTCTCACTTTAGTAACTCCTCTCTCAGTCCATCTTTGTATTCATCCCTGCATTTCTCTGCCACCTCTCTGGTGTCTGTTGCAGTTTTTTGGCCCTTTTGCTGCTCAGTGTAGCACACAGGAAGCCCTCAGGCTGACTGAAGACCCGACGGGACTAGTTTTTTTACGGAGTAAAGTAGTGACAAAAAGGTAGAGAGGACGAAGAAGGAATAAAAAGCTGAAAATAGGACACTGGGTTTTATCCATGGCTTTTAAATTTTTATAACCAGGGATGTTCTAAAATAACAGAAACAGTTGATAATCTGTCAATTTCCTAGATTTAGGAATTTTTGCACAGAATTTAACAGAAACAGTTGATAATCTGTCAATTTCTTAGATTTAGGAATTTTTGCACAGAATTAAAAAAGCTGACCTGGCCTTGTGTCTCCTCCTTCACTTCAAATATTTTTTTTTAACCAAAACAGACTTTCCCACAGTGCACATGAGGTGAGCGATGTTCCCATGCAGGCATCCAGCAGTAACACATCTATTCTGAATCAGGCAGCTACATGGTTAACACCTCGAGGGGCCAGAAAAATGTACATCAGACTCTTTTCATTCCCCTCAGTGTGTCATGCTTCCTCTACGCTTTCGCCTCCAGGCGAGGTAACAAAGAAGAGCAGCCTCCTCCAGAAAATACACACATCAATATTTTATTTGAATTTCTAACATCTCCACCACAACAGTTATCTGACCTCATGACTTGGGGGAGCCTCATAAATTCAAGGACTTTGTTTCGAGTCAGTGTTGTTGATATTGAATAAGCAATCTGGACGGGGGAGGGGGAGGAGATTAACGACATTGGTGTTTGGCTGCTGATAAAAAAAAAAAACTTCTCAGAAGAAATAATTAAGATGTGGATCGATATGATTGAGAGCCACTTAGGACCCGGAGGTGTACGCCTCCGTCCACTGGGCCTGGTGCAGCGGCTGGAAAACTCCTCTCTGTGGCAGCAAAACAAAGCGCAACCCAGTATCTGTGTAATCTTTAATAATTCATGCAGGGAAAATGTGTTTAAAGCCAGGACATCCTCTTTAGTGTACGCCTCAGAGGTCAGCCCTCAACCACAGAGACCACCAGGGGACCAAGGCCTCTCTCCTCTCTCTCTCTCTATCTCACTTCTTTCCTTTATTCCTCCTCCTCATTCTCCTCTGTGTTTCTCCCAAGAAGTCCTCCCTCTGACAGGAACTCCAGCAAATTAAAACAGCATCCTTAGCAGGCTGGCAATGTGAAAACTTCAAGGGACTTTCAGCAAAGTTAATTTTTCACCATCCTCCTCCAACACTCCCCTGCATTTCCATGCCACAGTGAAAACACCACAATAACTCTCTCTCCACTTGTAATACTCCACTCAGAAGTGAAAGGCGGTCACTCCCATGTCCGAGTAACGCTTAGAGGAGAAAATTTGCAAAATGTGAGACGTGCTACAAGGTCTTATATTAATCATTGATGCCGGAGTCGACAGAGTTGCCAAGGACACGGTTTCTCCCTGCGTGTTACCGCTATAAATTCCTCCCTTTTTTGTACATTTTCAATTGGATTTATTAACAGTATGGACAAAACTGTGCCACCAAAAGACCTGTTGAAGCGACAATTCCCACTGACACACACACTTTTTTCAACCTCTCTTCTCCCTTTTGCCTCCTTTTTTGGGTAGCAAAGATTCGTCCATCTCTTCCATTTAGCTGGATGCGTTATGAGACTCTGTTCAGCTCATTAAAATGTAATGCCGATGACCAGCTCTCTGGAACAGTGCCTTCTAACCAAAGTTCATCACTCGCAGGCTCTGTGGGGCTTTTTTTTTTTCCTTCCACTTTTGCACACATGCACCGGGGCTTTTTCACACACAGGCGTCCTCTGTCCACAGAAGACACTGTGCGGAGAAGGTGAAGGTGTAGGATGTCTGCTGCTTAACAGCTGCTGAGTGGAGGAACACACACTCCTTCATCTTTTATAGAACATTTACCTGAGGAAATACGGACCATAGTGGATCCACTCCACATATTATTATTATTGTTATAATAATAATAATAATTATTATTATTATTAGTAGTAGTAGTAGTGGTAATATTACTGCAGTTGTTGTTGTTATTATGAAATACTGTAATAGCGATTCATATCTCTGTGATTATAATTCAGTTCTGTGGTGTGGTTTTGTTGTGGCAACAGTAATAAAGCTGCTGCTGCTGCTGCTGCTGCTGCCGCCGGCGCCGCCGCCGCCGGCCGCCNNTGTGTCGCAGTGTGGTCCGCGTATTGACCGACTTTGTTGGGTATTTCCCTCCGCCTCTGGATCTGGTTACGCGGTATCGATCGGTTTTTATCGAGACATATGTGATTCTCCGTGGCCTCAGCCTCAGCCCCCGTGGCTTGTAGTGTGGAGCGGGGCCGCAGTAGAGGATTGAATTGCACTTGTGTGAGACCACCCTGGTTACAGGCTCGGCTGGAAATTACTATGTTGCTTGTATGTGTGTAAGATAAAATAGCGCTGTGCTGATTTCTAAGGTGATTTAGACCTTTTTTACGCCTTGCGCCTCCGGTTCCCGTTGATATTTCTGTCATTTAAACCCTCTTTCATAATTTTTCCATGCTGCCATATTTTCCAAAAATAGCCCAATGCTGATTTCGAATATTCCTTCACCTTTGCAACAATTCGGCGTTCATTTTAAGCTCATACTATGAAGTGAAAACGGGCGTTTCCACCTACCTGTTGATGGATGAAACGCTGGGGACGGTGTCGTTGTCGCAGACGCCCTCGGCCAGTAGCCGGTCCCTTATTTCCCAGGCGAACATGGTTGGATTTTGACGCTTGTATTCTGCGATTTTATCCACCACCTTCGGGGTTGCAACCTTTGGTTTGGAGCCACCGATTACTCCAGGTTTAATACTGCCGGTTTCATAGTACCTGTATGGCGACAGAGTGAATGGATTTATTCTTAATTAAAAAAACAAAAACAACCCAAAATCCAATTATTGTTGAAACAAATGTGCGTCCCCCCTGGAATCAAATATATGTATATTTATTTAATCTCCGGTGTAGAATTTAGGAATGTTTAACCCAATTATGACTCAAGTGTAAGTAGAAACACAAAATAGAAGCGGGAAAAACAGAACATAAATTTGCTACGTTAAGAGCACTTGATTTAGACTTAATTTAATGTCTCTATGGAATTACAGCAGCATGCACGACATGCCACCATAGATTTTGGGGACAAACATATAGTGTGTGTGAAATGAAATACCTCTGAAATGCCTTCTGATGGCTGAAAAAAATATATTTCAAAGTATTATCTCACGGCATTTGTGCACTAAAGTAAAAATATGATGTAGATCTAATTTATCAGGATTTAAGAAGCGTAAAGATGAACTAAAAATGGCAAAATAAAAACAAAAAAAACTCTAGTCTGGCTCCACCTACTTTAGTTACATTTGAAGTCTTCTAATTATGTTTGTTTTTTTTACAGTATTTTCAGCAGTACCTAAATCACCACAGCCTTATATATTTGTCTGGTAAATTAATCAGCACAAATGATTTACAGTTTTTTCCCCCCATTTTCACGATTATGATGCTTTGGTTTTGATGGATAGAAATAAAAAAAAATCTGCTGAGTGCAGGAAAAAATACATAGAGAGAAGAAGAAATAAATGAGCTGCCTGAATAAGCGATGACTGAGGCTGGAATAGAGCTGGCTGCGCACACAGGAGCTGCACAAGATTGATGTTTTTGACACACACACACATACACACACACACACACACACACACAGGGCTCTGGTGGTGGTCGTGCATCTCCCCCTATATCCCGTTTACCTGCCGAGGATTTTGCTGACACAGCCGTGACTGACCCGTAGCTGTCTGGAGATGTCGCAGGGTCGGACCCCCTGGTGGGCCAGCTCCACGATCCGCTGCCTCACCACGTCCGGCAGGGGTCTGCCGTTGACGAACACCCCACCGAGCTGGTTCACACCGCCGTGCCCTGCGTGGGATACAACAGCAGCAGAGGGGCACGGGGGGAGGCATAACATTACATACAAACACACAGCAAAGGGGTCCGTGTGTGTGTGTGTATTGTGAAATTGCAGGACACACACACTAACACACAAATACAGTCAGAGAAGAACACCGTAGAATTTAAATTTAATAAGAGCAACAATAAATATATAATAATATAAATATTACTGCTGATATTGACTATCTCGATATTAATAATATATTATATATTATATAACAAATACTAGTATAAAATGTCTATTTTATAATAAATGTTATTAGTAATATAATATTTAAAACTAAATAAATAAAAATATAATACTTATATACAATATATATATACTGTTTCCCTCCTTTTAAACACAATTTCTAAAACAATCATATATTTCACAATAAATTAAACGTCCACCATGGCATATTTTGCATAAATAAAATACAATCATTTCCGTTTTATTATTTTTTGTTATTTTATATGATATATATTATTCGCGGTGACTATTGTTACCTGCAGGACCCTCGTCTCCCCTCCGCAGCCTAACACATGTCGCGGTATATCAGGTTGCAACCTGTTTAATTTTCCTCGCACAATTGCTGTAAATAATTCAAATGAGCTTTGATAACTCATATTACAAACGCGGCGGTCGGTGCGAATGAGGAGGGGGATCAATAATTCACGCGCAGCACCGGCTCTTCTTCACATGAAGAATAAACATGACGAAATATTTAAAAGCATTTATTCCTGCTGTTTTTTCCCCTCTTTTTTTTTTTTACATCGCATTGTTCTGATAAAACACCTTTAGTTCAAGTGAGAAAAAGTGTAAAAAAAAAAATTTACACACAAGGTGAACGTGTTCTCCTCCAGAGCATCTGTCATTTCACAGGCAGTAAAAGCTCTGTATTTAAATGGCAGGATTTCTATTCGGATCAAATAAGCTGTTCAAACAGCGCAGGTGTTTCCTGTTTATTTGGCACAATAAAAGAAGCAGAAGAGACAGAAACACTGGAAGTGTTCTGAAAATTACTTTCCTGGAGGGGGAAAAAATCTAAATTGAATGTTTTATTTTGTTGTTAGGATTATCACTAACAAAATGTGAATTTGTTTTGGTCTAGTTTATTTTTTCTATAACCTAAAACTTTGTTTACGCTGAAGTTTTTATTGAGAAAATTAACGATTCGACATGAATTTTACTACAAAAATAACACCCACCGCTGTTGACGTTACATAAAAAATCTTTTAAAATAAGCTGATAAATATAACAAATATAACATATTTCAGTTCAAACCTGAATTATTATTAATTTTTTATCTGTAAAATACACAGTTGTCTTTGCAGACGTCTTGACGTCTTTGGCCCAAAGTGTGTGAGATTTGGCATCTCTCTCTGTGTGTGTGTGCGCGCGCGCGTGTGTGTGTTATTTTTAAATCTCCAAACTACTTCAAATACTCACGGTGCATCGCCGAGAAGGGGTCTGCTTTGCAATGAATATCCATGGGATAGCAAAGAAAAGAAAGGTAATCGACTGAGGTCGCCGTTTCGCCTTTGTGATGCAGCTTTTATAGGAATAAAAAAATTAAATAAATACGTTTTTTTTGGGTGTCTTTTTTTCTTCTTCTTTTGCTGTAAAACAGTCCTTGTGTCAAGTGTCCTCAGCAGCAGCAGCGGTGGAGAAGTTGTTGTTGTTGTTGTTGTTGCTAAGTTTTCCTCGGGTTAGAGTCTGGACTCTGGAGTGGACAGCACGGCTGTCAGGTGCGGAGCATGACCCACGCGTGTGCACGGCGCACGGTC